ACGAGGGGGTGGGTGGCCAGCACCACGCCCGGTCGTCTTTGTCTCTCCCCAGCGGGGATGTTTACTACACTACACCACCACCGCTACTTATTTGAGGCCGAGTAGGCGCCAGGACGGGTTCAGATCAATCGTTGCCTGGTGGTGTTGGTGGCCGTGAGCGGGAATCGAACCCAGGTGGCCAGGTTTGTAGCGCAGCGATAACTTCTACACCAACTATCGTGTACAAAAGGCCTACGCGGAGTTGTATATGAATCATAATATTGTTTTTTTTGGGTTAGATCACGTAAATATAAATGTGTCGTGAAACCCGCCACCAACACCCGACAGACAATCTGTAAAGTTTCGTCAAGTAAACAGAACACGCCGATTCGTTATTAGTACAAAACAACGTCAGCGTGTTGGAGAGTGCAAATCCACAACATTTACAGAGCACGACATTTCACCAGTAATCACAACTAGCATCAGCTTTGCTCTCCAACACACCGATGTGCTGTACTATGTTGTGGATTTGATCTCTAACACAGCAATGTGCTGTACTGTGTCTGTGGATTTGATCTCTAACACAGCAATGTGTTGTACTATGTTGTGGATTTGATCTCTAACACATCAATGCGCTGTACTGTGTCTGTGGATTTGATCTCTAACACAGCAATGTGCTGTACTGTGTTGTGGATTTAATCTCTAACACATCAATGTGTTGTACTGTGTCTGTGGATTTGCTCTCTAACACATCAATGTGCTGTACTGTGTCTGTGGATTTAATCTCTAACACAGCAATGTGCTGTACTGTGTCTGTGGATTTGATCTCTAACACAGCAATGTGCTGTACTGTGTCTGTGGATTTGATCTCTAACACATCAATGTGCTGTACTGTGTTTGTGGATTTGATCTCTAACACATCAATGTGCTGTACTGTGTCTGTGGATTTGATCTCTAACACAGCAATGTGCTGTACTGTGTCTGTGGATTTAATCTCTAACACAGCAATGTGCTGTACTGTGTCTGTGGATTTGATCTCTAACACAGCAATGTGCTGTACTGTGTCTGTGGATTTGATCTCTAACACATCAATGTGCTGTACTGTGTTTGTGGATTTGATCTCTAACACATCAATGTGCTGTACTGTGTCTGTGGATTTGATCTCTAACACAGCAATGTGCTGTACTGTGTTTGTGGATTTGATCTCTAACACATCAATGTACTGTACAATGTTGTGGATTTGATCTCTAACACAACAATGTGCTGTACTGTGTCTGGATTTGATCTCTAACACATCAATGTGCTGTACTGTGTTTGTGGATTTGATCTCTAACACAGCAAAGTGCTGTACTATGTTGTGGATTTGATCTCTAACACATCAATGTGCTGTACTGTGTCTGTGGATTTGATCTCTAACACAGCAAAGTGCTGTACTGTGTTGTGGATTTGATCTCTAACACATCAATGTGCTGTACTGTGTTGTAGATTTGATCTCTAACACAACAATGTGCTGTACTGTGTTTGTGGATTTGATCTCTAACACATCAATGTGCTGTACTGTGTTTGTGGATTTGATCTCTAACACAACAATGTGCTGTACTGTGTCTGTGGATTTGATCTCTAACACAGCAATGTGCTGTACTGTGTTTGTGGATTTGATCTCTAACACAGCAATGTGCTGTACTGTGTTTGTGGATTTGATCTCTAACACAACAATGTGCTGTACTGTGTTTGTGGATTTGATCTCTAACACAACAATGTGCTGTACTGTGTTTGTGGATTTGATCTCTAACACATCAATGTGCTGTACTGTGTTGTGGATTTGATCTCTAACACAACAATGTGCTGTACTGTGTTTGTGGATTTGATCTCTAACACATCAATGTGCTGTACTGTGTTTGTGGATTTGATCTCTAACACAACAATGTGCTGTACTGTGTTTGTGGATTTGATCTCTAACACAACAATGTGCTGTACTGTGTTTGAGGATTTGATCTCTAACACAACAATGTGCTGTACTGTGTTTGTGGATTTGATCTCTAACACAGCAATGTGCTGTACTATGTTGTGGATTTGATCTCTAACACATCAATGTGCTGTACTGTGTTTGTGGATTTGATCTCTAATACATCAATGTGCTGTACTGTGTTGTGGATTTGATCTCTAACACAGCAATGTGCTGTACTGTGTTGTGGATTTGATCTCTAACACAGCAATGTGCTGTACTATGTCTGTGGATTTGATCTCTAACACATCAATGTGCTGTACTGTGTTGTGGATTTGATCTCTAACACAGCAATGTGCTGTACTGTGTTGTGGATTTGATCTCTAACACATCAATGTGCTGTACTGTGTTGTGGATTTGATCTCTAACACAACAATGTGCTGTACTGTGTTTGTGGATTTGATCTCTAACACATCAATGTGCTGTACTGTGTTGTGGATTTGATCTCTAACACAACAATGTGCTGTACTGTGTTGTGGATTTGATCTCTAACACAGCAATGTGCTGTACTGTGTTGTGGATTTGATCTCTAACACAACAATGTGCTGTACTGTGTTTGTGGATTTGATCTCTAACACAACAATGTGCTGTACTGTGTCTGTGGATTTGATCTCTAACACAGCAATGTGCTGTACTATGTTGTGGATTTGATCTCTAACACATCAATGTGCTGTACTATGTCTGTGGATTTGATCTCTAACACAGCAATGTGCTGTACTGTGTTTGTGGATTTGATCTCTAACACATCAATGTGCTGTACTGTGTTGTGGATTTGATCTCTAACACATCAATGTGCTGTACTATGTGTGTGGATTTGATCTCTAACACAGCAATGTGCTGTACTGTGTTGTGGATTTGATCTCTAACACAGCAATGTGCTGTACTGTGTCTGTGGATTTGATCTCTAACACATCAATGTGCTGTACTGTGTTTGAGGATTTGATCTCTAACACATCAATGTGCTGTACTGTGTCTGTGGATTTGATCTCTAACACAGCAATGTGCTGTACTGTGTTTGTGGATTTGATCTCTAACACAGCAATGTGCTGTACTGTGTTGTGGATTTGATCTCTAACACATCAATGTGCTGTACTGTGTTGTGGATTTGATCTCTAACACAGCAATGTGCTGTACTGTGTTGTGGATTTGATCTCTAACACAGCAATGTGCTGTACTATGTTGTGGATTTGATCTCTAACACATCAATGTGCTGTACTGTGTCTGTGGATTTGATCTCTAACACAGCAATGTGCTGTACTATGTTGTGGATTTGATCTCTAACACATCAATGTGCTGTACTATGTCTGTGGATTTGATCTCTAACACAGCAATGTGCTGTACTGTGTTGTGGATTTGATCTCTAACACATCAATGTGCTGTACTGTGTCTGTGGATTTGATCTCTAACACATCAATGTGCTGTACTATGTGTGTGGATTTGATCTCTAACACAGCAATGTGCTGTACTGTGTTGTGGATTTGATCTCTAACACAGCAATGTGCTGTACTGTGTCTGTGGATTTGATTTCTAACACATCAATGTGCTGTACTGTGTTTGAGGATTTGATCTCTAACACATCAATGTGCTGTACTGTGTCTGTGGATTTGATCTCTAACACATCAATGTGCTGTACTGTGTCTGTGGATTTGATCTCTAACACATCAATGTGCTGTACTGTGTCTGTGGATTTAATCTCTAACACATCAATGTGCTGTACTATGTCTGTGGATTTGATCTCTAACACAGCAATGTGCTGTACTGTGTCTGTGGATTTGATCTCTAACACATCAATGTGCTGTACTGTGTCTGTGGATTTGATCTCTAACACATCAAAGTGCTGCTGCTCTACTCGTAACGAATTGTAATGTTTTGTTGACGTGACAAACCCCTCACGGATTGGCTGTTGGGTGGTGGCGGGTTCAACGACACATTTATATTTACGCGATTCCAACCTAAAAAATAACATAAGTTACGTATATTACGAGTATGTATTCACATGTCGGGCCCATGAGTGAGGTAATGTAAGGTGAGGAGGTTGCATTTAAACCTACAGTATATACATTATTTATGCGATATAACCTAAAGAACAAGCTGTATTATACATTTGTGTAAGTATATTACAAGTATTTATGAGCATATATTAGCCCGTGGCGCGCTGCTTTTGCAAAAAAATAAAACACCGAAAAGAGTGAACGACGCCCCGAAGTGGTCGATTGATACAAATTAAGGTGCAGGGAGTTTTGTCTTGTAAAGAAAGAGAGAAAAAAACCTCGAATAAAAACACAATTTCGTGGAGGAATTAAATTAAAATTTTCCACTCGGCGCCGTCAGCGCCAGCGAAGCCTCCTGGGCCCAATCCAGGCGAGCGGTCCCGCCAGTTTAACGCGATCGGAAAAATTCGACACAGAACGCAACGGCGCAGCGAACCCCCGGCGACGTGGGAGACGAACAAAACACACAACTCTACACGTTTTAAAATGACGAGGGGAGGGGGAAGGTCGCGTTCTATCGACAGATGTGGCCTTTGTATATTCGGCGTTTTGTGTCAACCACAAGGCCTAGGCCCGTCGACTCCGCGCGCCCCCCCTTCTTGCCTAGAACGCCACCCGCCGGGCGAGCGCGAGCCCGGGCGCGAGGAGCTAGGCGAGGTCGAGGCCTCGACCTCGAGGTTTAATTTCTTTCTGCGCGTGTTGTTGTAATCGTTTTATATTTTAATTCCCCTACTCGTTCCTCGCTGATTCTGTGCGTATATATTGAGTGGGGGGGGGTATCAACGTTTAAATGGAACTGCGAGCGCCTCTTTATATCGGCGGCCGTGGTGGTGATGCTGGAAATTAGAAACTGACAGCGAAGCACGGGGGGAGGGGGGGGCGCTGCGTCTCATTAAGACGCCGCTTTCAATCAATCTTCACTTTACAAAGCCGCCGCCGCTTTAACTGCGGCGCTTTAAAGCACAAAAATGTATCAAACTAGACCCCTCAAAGCCCCACTGGGGGGCCCCTTTCCGCCGACTTACCGAGTCGGGGCGAGTCGGCCCCAAGGCGGACTGCGAACGGCCTCTCCCCTCCTGCTCCTCCTCCTCTTCGTGTCACGGAGATGTTGTATTCCTCAGCCTTTCCAAACGCAGCAAAGCAGAGAAATAAAACAAAGCCCCCCACCACCACCACCACGATCTCAACGAGCCAAGATCCGCCTCAGTCGCGCGTTCAACTCCCGCGTTTTACAAATTTGCCCAACACTCGGCCACTCGGCCAGCCCCGAATCGCCTCCCTGCTGCACCCAGACTCCGTCTAACGCCTCGACGCCGGCTGCTGCAGCGAGCTGCGTGTGGGGACGAGTTTAGTGGAGGCTGTTGTCGATTGACGCGAGAGGAGAGGTCTCCACTGCGAAACAACAGCGGTATAAAGCGCCCTCCATGAGGGCGAGCGGCGCTAGTGGCGGTGGTGAGTAACAATGGCGAAAGAGCGGCCACCAGCGATGGGTAGAGGAGGTGGTGAGGGGGGTGGGAGGGAGCCGTCCCCTTCTCTCTCTCTCTCGCCTCTCGCTCTCTCTTCGCGATGGCTTCTTCGGTCTCTGATTGCCTCCCCCCGCCCCCGTGAAGGAAGGAAGGAAGGGAGGAGGAGGAGGGACGAGGAGGAGGAGGCGGCGGTGGTGGCGGCAGTGGCCGCCGTTCGGGCGACAGCGCGGGCGGGCGGGCGGAACAAAAGGCTGCGGGAAACGGTGACGTCGCCACTCACGTGACCGCTCACGGTGGTGGTGGTGATGGTTGTGGTGGTTGTGGTGGTGGTGGTTAGTGGTGGTGGTGATGGTTGTGGTGGTAGTGGTGGTGATGGTTGTGGTGGTTGTGGTGGTGGTTAGTGGTGGTTAGTGGTGGTGGTGGTGGTGATGGTTGTGGTGGTTGTGGTGGTGGTTAGTGGTGGTTAGTGGTGGTGGTGGTGCTGGTGGTGGTTGGTGGTGGTGGTTGGTGGTGGTGGTGGTTGTTAGTGGTGGGTGTGGTGGCTGTTAGTGGTGGTGATGGTTGGTTGTGGTTAGTGGTGGTTGTTAATGGTGGGTTTGGTGGTGGTTAGTGGTGGTGGTTAGTGGTGGGTGTGGTGGCTGTTAGTGGTGGTGATGGTTGATTGTGGTTAGTGGTGGTTGTTAGTGGTGGGTGTGGTGGTGGTTGTTAGTGGTGGGTGTGGTGGTGGTTAGTGGTGGTTGTTAGTGGTGGTTAGTGGTGGTTGGTGGTGATGGTTGGTGGTAGTTAGTGGTTGTTAGTGGTGGTTAGTGGTGGTTAGTGGTGGTTGGTGGTGATGGTTGGTGGTAGTTAGTGGTGGTTGTTAGTGGTGGGTGTGGTGGTGGTTAGTGGTGGTGGTTAGTGGTGGTGGTGGGTGGTGGTTGTTAGTGGTGGTGGCTGTTAGTGGTGGTGGTGGTTGGTGGTGGTTGGTGCTGATGGTTGTATGGTGGTTAGTGGTGGTTAGTGATGGTGGTGGTTGTTGGTGGTGGTGGTGGTTGGTGCTGATGGTTGTATGGTGGTTAGTGGTGGTTAGTGGTGGTTAGTGGTGGTGGTGGTTGTTGGTGGTGGTTGGTGGTGGTTAGTGGTGGTGGCGGTGGTTAGTGGTGGTGGCGGTGGTTAGTGGTGGTGGTTGTTGGTGGTCGTTAGTGGTGGTTGTGGTTAGTGGTGGTGGTTAGTTGTGGTGGTGGTTAGTGGTGGCGGTGGTTAGTGGTGGTGGTTAGTGGTGGTGGTGGTGGTGTGATGCATGCAAGAGGTTAGACGGAGGCACCAACCAGCATCATCGTCAACAACAATTTTCAACCACAACAATCAACACCAACAACAAAACTTAACAATCATCAACAACGATCACCAGGCATGCAGCTGGTGGTAGTGACGTGATTGTGGTTGGTGGTAAGTTAGTGACGGTGGTGGTGGCTGGTGGTGGTGGTGACGGTGGTGGTGGCTGGTGGTGGTTGTTTTTGGTGGTGGTGACAGTAGTGGTGGTTATAGTGACGGTGGTGGTGGTTCGTGATGGTTGGTGGTGACGGTAGGGGTGGTTGGTGGTGGTGGTGGTGACGGTGGTGGTGACGGTGGTGGTGGTTGGTGGTAATTAGCGGTAGTGGTTAGTGGTATTGTGGTTGGTGGTGGTGACGGTGGTGGTGACGTGGTTAGTGGTGGTGGTGGTAGTTAGTGGTGGGCGGTGGTGGTTAGTGGTGGTTAGTGGTGGTGGTGGGTGGTGGTGGTGGTTAGTGGTGGTGGTAGTTAGTGGTGGTGGTAGTTAGTGGTGGTGGTAGTTAGTGGTGGGCGGTGGTGGTTAGTGGTGGTTAGTGGTGGTGGTGGGTGGTGGTGGTGGTTAGTGGTGGTGGCGGTAGTTGGTGGTGGTGGTAGTTAGTGGTGGGCGGTGGTGGTGGGGGGTGGTTAGTGGTGGTGGTGGTTGGTGGTGGTGGTTAGTGGTGGTGGTGGTTGGTGGTGGTGGTTAGTGGTGGTTGTTCGTGGTGGTTAGTGGTGTTGGTTAGTGGTGGTTAGTGGTGGTGGTTAGTGGTGGTTAGTGGTGGTGGTGGGTGGTGATGGTTGGTTGTGGTTAGTGGTGGTGGTGGTGGTGGTGTGAGTGGGAGACTTGCAAGAGGTGAGACGGAGGCACCACCAGCATCATTGTCAACAACAATAATCAACCACAACAATCATCAACCACAACAATCATCAACCACAACAATCAACAACAATCACCAGTCCTGCAACTGCCACACGTGATGGTGGTGGTGGTGTGAGTGGGAGACGACGCGCAGAGGCAAGCCAGAGACACCCAGCATCGTTGTCAACAACAACAATCATCATCCACAACAATCAACAACATCAACAACAATCAACAAACACATTCCTGCGGAGGGAGCTGGTAGGAACGTTGGGTTGCTCGGTCAATGGCCAGGGTCAACGGCGGCGTGGTGTATTCCGCAAATATGGCCGACTGTGAGGGCGGCACAAGCCAGCGTGAGTAGGTTAAACGTTGAGTTTTATAAGGGCACCACAGGGTGACCAGCCCCTCCCCTCCCCACCCTCCCCACCCAGCCCCTCCCTGCACGACGGATGGACACAATAATCCCATGTGGGCTGGTGTAAGCAGGAGGTTCCTACCAGTATAATTCACAACAACAATCATCAACAACAACTTCACCAACTCTCACACGTTGAAGGTGCTGCTGGTGTGAGCGGGAGACACGCAGGGACGGCAAGACGGAGGCAGATAAACATCAGCATCGTCAACATCTAAATAAGTAATATTTAAAAATGTATGTGCTTAAAACACGCTTTAATGAAATGTACCGTACTAGTGTATAGTAGGTTCAATGAGACGTGGACGACGTAGTCGGAGGCACACTTATTTATTAAATGTTTCACTCAATACAGGCCAAGGTATACAACACTTGAAGTGGTATCGGCCCCTTCACCCGTCTAACAGGGAAATCCCACTATCTCTATCCCGGCTAGCCTACTCCCAGGTCCTTCACTCGAGAGCTAGGGGAGGCTAGCTGACCCAGCTCTGGCCAAGCTAGGATCACGGCACCCTTAGTCACCAGACCGGCTCCTACAAGAGCATCGGCTCTGGGCTCTCGGAGCCACGCCACTGGCTTGTCCTGGTCGGTCCTTAGAAGGACAGCGATTCAGGGGAGTCCCAGGGCCTATCTAGCCGGTCTTCTTTCTTCACTGGTTTAAGCTAAACACTGAACCCCGAGCCCACCGGCTCACCGCCTTATATAGCAACTCCCTCCCTGAGGGGTGGGGCCGTGCGGGATCACAGCGCCGTTTCAGCCCCCCAGGGCTAACCGATGTGGACGTGGATATAAGCATCCTTCCGCGTGCGGGCATAACCACCCCTGGTGTGTTTGTTCGCTTTCCCGTAACACCCCTAAATCACCCCCCCCCCCCCCGTACAGCCCGCGCAAAAAAATTCACAATAAAGATGCATCCCCCCCAAACCCGTGTGTGCCCCGCGTAAATAACAATAACAACAACAACAGTAACAACAACAACACTACGGAGAGAGAGAAAAATAACCCGACGTACTCCCCCCAATAAATACCCCATCCCGTAAGAAACCAACATATGTACAATTTCCAGGTCCCCCACCCCGCGACCCCAGCAAGGGCTGCATGAGAGGCCGACCTCACAAAAGTCTGCGTGTTTTGGCACGCGTTCTTGCAGCGGGACAGTCACAAGGGGCAGCCCCGGCCGGCCCGGCAGTGGGTGTCAATAGTTCGGGTGCGAGAGTGTCTGGCTTCGCCGACGAGCGACCCCCGACCCCCCCGGGAGGGGTTGGCAGTCGCGAGCATGTCAATCCTGGTCCACCTGGAAGCGGAAAAGTCGGTGGCAAATCAGGCGAATGCAGCGAAGTCGGACTCCGGAAGTCGGTGGACCCCTTACATGTTTGGCCATGTGTGTGTGGAGTAGAAACATGGGGCGCAACGAACGGTTTCAACCTGGAGGGGTGCACGAACCACCGACGCTTCCCCCACCGGATACGTACACATTGTGGCCGCAAGACCTGCATCACTTCCACGGGCGCCCGCCACGGCCGCAACAGCTTGGACGAGGTCGCCAGCGGAACTTGGGGACAGTGCAACCACGCTTTTTCACCCGGTTTCCACTGGAGCACATGCACCCGGCCCAGCTTGAGCCTTTCATTCGCCTTCTGGCGACGGTCTGAATTTTGGATGGCCGCCTCCCGCGCCCCTGTCAATTTAGAGATTTTGAATTTGACATGGTCGGCCAATTTGGATTTAGCATGCGGCGCGGAGATCCGCAGCTGAGTCGCGACAGGCGGGTTAGCCTCACGACCGTACATTAGGAAGAAGGGCGAAAATCCGGTTGCCGCATGAGCAGCCATTCTGTAGGCCGCCAAAACCCCCGGAATATGAATGTCCCAGTCGGTCTGGGATTCAGACACCTGATGAGACAGCATGGACGTGATAGTCCGATGCAGACGCTCCACTATCCCGTCAGTTTGCGGATGATATGGGGAGGTACGGATTTTTTTCGTACCCAGGAGCTCGCACACCTCGTGGAGAAGTTTACCCGAGAAATTTTTCCTCTGGTCGGTCAGCAGCTGCTCCAGAGTACCTTTGTCGAGGACGTAGCCCTGGACAAAGGCCTCCGCGATGGCTGCTGCTGACTGGTTGGCGAGGGGCCAGGCCATAGGCCATTGCGTAAAATATTCCACCCCGGTCAATAGGTATTTATTTCCCCTAGGTGTAGCGGGGAATGGACCCAAAATATAAAACGCGACGAGTTTGTTAACCCGGGAAACCTTAATAGACTGCAATGGTGGATTGGACCCCCTTGCTGGTGGCTTCCGTTGCGCGCACCGAGTACAAGACCCTAAAAGATCATCCACGTCTCTTGCCATGCCCGGCCAAGAAAAATCCAGCTGGAGCATGGCAAGGGGTTTGTGAGTCCCCAGGTGCAGGAGTCGCTCGTGAGCAGCCCACACCACCCTACCCCTCAGTGTGGAAGGCACCACCAGCCGGTGGCAGCGGGATCTCCCGTCCCAATGCATCAAGAGACCCTGGAACAACTCCCACAAGTCGACATTTTCCGCCCCCCGACCAGATCCCCCGATGCGACGGCGCAACGCGAGGAGGGAGGTGTCCTCCATTTGGAGGTGCCCCCACTCCGCAACAGGCAATCCCAGCAAGGAATCCCTCCCTTCTTGCTCAATAGGATCCGCAATTGAAGGCG